GTACATCAACTTCAGGCACAAGTACAGACCCAGCAGAGGCGAGCTGACCTCAGTCACTCCAAAGGGAGAACTGGGGGTCGGTGGGCCCTGTGGGTGGGAGGGGCCAGGGGGAGGTGGGTGGGAAGGGTTCGGCGGGCTGGAGGGCCAGCGTTTTGCAAGGGCAGTTGCGCAGAGCTGGGGCAGCAGGCACAGAGCCGGGGAAATGTCATGGGGTGAAGGGCCAGGGAGAGGCAGACAGACATGAGGGAGCGGGAAGCACGGCCTCTTCCTGGAAGCGGAGAGGGCAGCGGCCTGCCCTACTTCTCTCTGCGTGCTGCAGGGAGCGCCGGCGGGAGGAACCGACCGGACGACCGAGGGCCCCAGGGTGGAGCCCGTCGCAGGGTGAGCTCAGGTCAAGCCTTTCACCCCGATGTGCCTCAGTTCCCTCCCAGCTGTTAAACAGGGCCCTGGGTGCTTCCCAGGGAGCTAATGAGTGTTTACCAAGGAGCTGGGAGATCCTCAGATCTCAGCTGGGCCCCACGACAGTTAGAAAGCTCCAGAAGGGCTGAGTGTGATGTGGGGAGGGCGGGCTCAGGGGAAGAGGGAAACAGACTGTTCTCCGAACTGAGGATGACACCGGCTCCGAGAGCACCAGCCTCCGCGGCCACGGGCTATCCCTCGCCCAGGGATGGGGCCGCGCACCCCCATACCTCTAACCACCTCCGAAGGCCGGCCCCGCAGCGCACGGCAGGCAGAGCCCAGACGAGCAGCTGGTCTCCATTAGCTCCAGCGTCTTGCACCCCACACTGTGAACCCGCAGCTCCTACAGGCTCAGGCTGGCGGGGGGGGGGGGGGGGGCTGCCCCAGCCCGACCTCGCAGCTGACTCTGGGGTGGGGTGGGGGGGACACCCCACACCAAAGGCCACGCTACCAACTGAAACCAGAGTTGAAGCAAGCCTCCCTTTTCCCACCGGGAGCGAGGGGAGAGGGAAGAAAGGAGTGTGGGGGTGAGAGGGTGGAGGTGGGGGAATTTAGGGCAAACAGCAGGCAGTGAAGTCAGCTGGATGGAGGCCCAGAAACCCCCACACCCTGGGGCCAAGTCTTACTGGAGCTTTGCTTTCAGCTCGAGAGTCTTGGCCGGGCCCCAGCGCGAGGGAAGGCCCTGGCTGCCCCCTCCCGGCTCCCCGCCCCCACCCTTATTAAATACACATTTTATCTCTCAGCATCTTCATTATCTTAACCGAAGGAGACAAGCAGGGGAGAGCGTCAGGAGGGGGGCGGCGTGGGGAGCAGGCGCACCCTGGCTAGAAAGTGCTGATCCAGCGCTTTCGGGCCGTGTGGGAAAAAGAGGTGGGATCAAAGGGAGCGGGCTGATTCAGAACTCAATTAGAGCTCCTTAAAGAGGGAGCGAGGGCTCTCCTCTGCCAGTCTGCAGACAGCCTGTGCCCGGGCCTCTTGCGCCCAATTAGTCTCCACCGCCAGCGCCTTGGGGCTGGGGCTGGAAATCAAGGGGAGGCCGGAGGGAACGCCACCGCCACCCCCTACGCACCTTTCGCCGAAGAGGGAGACCTGCCGCCGAGCGCAGCTTAAAAGACGATGTCTAGAGGACACCTTTTCGGGAGGGACCTGAGGTTACAATGCTCCCCAAAAGTTAAAAAAGAGTGTGTGTGGGGGGACATCAAAGGTGAGTTCTTCCTTCATCCCTTGCCAGCTAGAGGCACTGCCTCTGGCCAGGGTTAGGGACAGAGGGAGCAGCCAGGCAGGCACCCCGCTCCCCAGCCGGTGGGGGACGCCCTCCACAGGCAGGGCTTGCTGGGAGCAAGGTAGAAATCGCCTCCAGCAAGACACCACATCAGAGGGAGCGATTGGAACGCGGCTGGGAGGCCAATAAACCTCCAGGATTGTGCCAAGACATATTTTTTTAAGATGAAGCACCTCTTTTTTTTTTTTTTACGGGGCCTGCTCCACCTCCGTGTAAAAGCACCAGCCATGTTTATCTCCGGATCAGACCTGTCGAGGTGGAGGGGAAGGCGAGGTGGAGGGGAAGGCGGTGTTTTATTTGGTTTATTGATCTGCCCATTGAACACCTACCAGGTAGGTACCAGGCGCTAAGTCCCAGGGACAATACAAATATAAATAAAACCTCAAGCTTGGTGCTCTCGGCCTCTCTCGGTAGGCAATGTGACACCTCTTGACAGAGGTATACTTTCAAAATATATGTTTCTATTGGTTTCAGAGAGGGAGAGGGAGAAGAGATAGAAACATCCACGATCGGCTGCCTCCCACACGCCCCGCACACACGGGATGAAGCGGGCAGTCCGGGCTGGTGCGCTGACCGGGAATGGAGCGTGACACCTGGTTCATGGGTCGATGCTCCACCACTGAGCCACACTGGCTGGCTACACGTATTTAAAAAAATCTCCCAGTCTGGCCCTGGCCAGTGCTCAGTTGGTTGGAGTGTCATCCAGCACACCAAGAAATGTGGGCTCGATTCCCCATCAAGGCACATACCTACGTTGTGGGTTTGGTCACTGGTTGGGGTGCATATGGGAGGCAATTGGTCAATGTTTCTCTTTAAAAATCAATAGCCGAAACCGGTTTGGCTCAGTCGTAGAGCGTCAGTCTGTGGACTGAAAGGTTTGATTCCAGTCAAGGGCACGTACATTGGTTGCGGGCACATCCCCAGTGGGGGGTGTGTAGGAGGCAGCTGGTCGATGTTTCCCATCGACGTTTCTGGCTCTCTATCTCTCTCCCTTCCTCTCTATAAAAAAATCAATAAAATATATTTTTAAAAATCATTAAAAATATACCCTTATATGATTAAAAAAATAATCTGCAGGTCTGTCTCATCTCTCCTCCCCAGTTCTTTTTTTTTTTTTTTAATATATTTTATTGATTTTGTACAGAGAGGAAGGGAGAGATAGAGAGTTAGAAACATCGATGAGAGAGAGAATCATCGATCAGCTGCCTCTTGCACACCCCCTACTGGGGATATGCCCGCAACCAAGGTACATGCCCTTGACCGGAAACGAACCCGGGACCCTTCAGTCCCCAAGCCGACGCTCTATCCATTGAGCCAAACCGGTCTCAGCACTCCTCCCCAGTTCTTACTGGTGTGTCTTAGGGCACTTCATAAAGGCCGGGAGCAGCAGCGGGGGGTGGAGGAGAGGAGAGCTTTGCCAATTTTTTGACCTCTGGGTAGCTTGGACCTCACACACTTGCCAGTTATCTGGCCACAGGCACGTCTTCATTGAGCAGAAAGATCGGCGACAGCTCCGGGCCTGGAACTCACACCAGCTTTATTGTGTCTGCGTTCTCTCCATGGCAATCCCCAACAACACGCTGTGGAAGCTTCATCTGCTTCTCTGAAGGAAAGGGAGTCAGGAAACCAGGATATGGACACACGCGCCCACCCCCTTCACCAGGAAGAACGCAGGTCAGCGTCTGTGCTGCTACACTACGGGAAACAGCCTATGGTCCTGGCAAACCCCGGGAACCACAAACCCATCCCACCCCATCCCATCCCACCACCAACCCCACTCCTCCCCCCGCTCTCGGGTCTCAGAGAGAAAACCCCGCAAGAGAAGGACTTCCTCCTCTCAGCCTGCTCCCCGGCTGCCTGAGTGACGCTGAAGACTCACTGACAAACGTACATCAGCTCTCCCTCCCACAGGGCGGCAGGAGCCACGCAGGGACGCTTCACGCATCATTGACAGACCAGCCCTGCTCCGACTGCTGAAGTCTTAAGAGCAGCCGTGACCTAGAAATTGACAGTGGGGGGAGAACCGAAGGAACAGAAACCAACAAACCAGCACGCAGAAAACCCTGTTTCCAAACATCGGGGGGGAAAGGGAGGGAAAAGAAGGTAGAAGGGAAAGAAATTTGGCCCCTTCGGATCTGCAAACGCAATCTTGGCTCCGTGCCACGGAGGATCCACAGCGGCCCCACTGCGAGTCAAGCCGTGTTCCAGACTCCAGCCCCACAGCGAGGAGGAAGGCGCCAAGCTCAGCTCCGCCGAGGTGGGGAGGCCACTCCTTTCTGGGCAGGATCCTACTGTGGACACAGAACAGACAGCAGCTGCCCACAGTGTGGAAACAAACTGTAAAGCAGTCACGTCTCTTAAGGCTGCAGCATCCAATAAAATGTAATTTAAATCAAGCCTCGCATCTGTTCCCAATCCCATACAGTCTCTGCTTTCCATCAGCCTTCGGACAATCTTTGCAATTATGCTTGTTAACCCTTGTCGCCCCAGACCCTTTCCACGCTGCGCGGGATAACAGTGCTCTCGGCTCGCCAGTCACCCTCGGAGGGAATGACTTCCTCGCCAGGAGTGTGGGAACACTCAGACTCCTGTCTATGCACCCCGCTCTGCTGCACACCCGTGGGGAGTGTGCATTTCAGAGGGCTCTCTGTGTGCCCTTCTTCGGTCCCGTACCACCTGCTGTAGCCCAGATCGCATTGCAGGGATACAGTGGGCAGCATGAATGAAACAGTGGCCAACAGATCACTTGTACACGCATCAAGTTCCCAAACTCAAGTCCGTGTTGGGAAGGCAGGAGGCAGGAGAGCTCAGGGAACAGGCTTGGTCACTGGTTCTCAGACCATCCGTGTCACATATGGTTTGCATTCCAAGGATTTGCTCGAGTTATAAAACTACAGCCATCTCCCAAATGAATCAAACTTAAGCCCTGCCTCCTCCTTTCTCAACACTGCAGCCCCATGCCTGCACTCTCAAGGCGGTCAGTGCTGTAATGGCGCCCTCTGGCGTTCCCATCTCAAATTGCCATTTTATGTCACCAGAAAACAAACCCAGAAGAGAGGAGTCTCGGGTAACCATATGAACTAATTTATCTAACAAGACTAGAAAAAGGAGAGCTAGATAAAAATCCAACCCCACACAAAGGCGTCTTGAGACAAACAGCTTCAATGGAGGGCAACGAGACGGCTGAGACAGTTTAGGGAAGGATTTCCACTACGAAAGCTTGAGTTCTCTGGAAATGTGCTTAAAAAGACAAAGAATGCAACTTGAAAATAAATATATTCACAATCTGTAGAGTTACATTCTGCTTACTACCCCCACTTCCCTGGGGAGGGCCTCAGAAACGCAGTGAGCCTTTAAAATGCCACAATGTGGAAGTATCTGCAACGCGAACACAGGAAGCTCCAGAAAGAAAGAAATCCTTTGATCACGAAGTGTCCTCCATGTTGTCATGAGGACTTGCTTGTTTGGCTGGATCGCCCTTTTCCATTCTTCTGATTTTAGTGCCAAAGTTCTTTCAAATACACCAATGTTTGAGGGAACAAAGGGGTAAATATATGCACAGTCCACAACATAAATCTATATCCTTGCAAACTTAAGGTAGTAAATATAATTTAAAAGGGTCTACTTGGTCATTTTTAATGCATAAGAATAATAAGACCCTCATTTTTAATGCATAAAAAAGAACCTCCCCCCAAATAATAAGACCCAAAGATGTTATAGTCTATGTAAACATTCTTGAATCTATAAATTAAAATCGATCACTTTCAAGTAAAAAAAAAAAAAAAGGATTGTTTTCAGACCTGAATACATTAAAGTACTAACAAGAAGACTTTATAACGGTCTAAATAACACTGGATTACTTTCAGGTGGGGTATTAGTGTAGGAAAAAAAAGAATTTAAGGCAATCCAGTAGCTAAGATATTTCCAATTAAAGTTCTGTCTTTCAGAGCATGCTCTATTTCCTTCTCTTCAATCTTCAAAGACACCTGGAAAGAAGAGGGAAAAAGACATCACCGTGGAGAACTCACAAAAGCCAAGTTTGTAGTACAGAAAGGTCTGCCCCATCAAACCGTCCTCCCGAGAGCCCGGCGGGTTCAACGCTGCTTTTCCAACGGCCCCCACACACGACCACCTCACTCCGCCCCAATCCCATTCTCACAGGTCTTACACTCTCTGCAACAAGAAACAAACTGTTGATCTAATTACGGCCATTTTAAACTCTTTAGCAAAACACAGGTTCTCCAAACAGGACGATTAAAGGGAATGCCACGGAGCGGCAGCAGGCTGTACCTTGGTGAGGCGGGTCTCCTTGTTTTTCTTTAACTCTAAAATGCCCCTGGCCTCCAAGAGCCCCGAGAGGGACAGGCACTCGGACTGGTCCACTGCCGCCACCTGCTGTTTGCGGCAGACGCTGCCATAGGCCTCGTGGAGCTGGGTGGAAGAGGGAGAACAAGTGTTGTTTATTAGTCCTATCTCTTGCAGCCTAGTTATAATCTTTCAAAAATGTGAGTCTGGGTTTGCAAACAAAAATTATCTCGATGCCCAATCCTCCCTCTTCCACAGGATCCTTGAACGGGCATCCTGTAGATACGGCCCAAAACCTCTGCTGTCATGCAGGAAAGGGGCTTTATATTTCGTCAAGAGGCAGAAATGGCAGGGGAGATTAACTGTAAATCCTCAACCACAACCCAAGGGAAATCAGTCAGCTGCCTTTTACATGGTTCCGGTATTTATTCTTACGGTTAAAAATCCGTTTTTAATTCCTATCAGCTGGAGCGCCATGGGCCTTTTGGAAAGCATCTACCTACTCTGCAAAGCAGAGTCTCACCTCTCCCCCCCAGCTCCATCTGCCGACACCCCCAGCTCACCTTCCCCAGAGTGACCTCTTTGGTTTTCAACTGCCTGGTCAAGAGCAGCAAAGAGCAGACCAAGATCTTCTGCTGCAGAGGGAAGGAGTCTTGTGCTCCATCTTGGATTGAAGTCATCCTGTCTCCATCAACTTCTGAAATGACCTGGGATATGTGACTAAGGCCAACCCGCTTCGGAACCAGTGACTCAGAGGATGACTTACCTATAAATAAATTCGTTGGGCATAATTAGATTTTTAAAATGGAGTGCGTTACGACAGATGACACTAAGTTTGAGCTGAAGATAATTCAAGTGCAGTCATGTAGGGGCAAAGCAGAGGTTCCTGCTCTGTAACTAGAAACGGAAGAATGAGACGATGCTGTCCTCCCAAAGGGACCAGGATAACGTGGGTGACTTCAAAGGAGGCTTATCTTTTCCTGGGCAGAATGGGGAGCTGTTTTGCCCCGCACAACACAATTTAATCTCAGAGAGACAAAAACCCACCTCCTAAAAGAATAAGGACCAGACAATGTATCCTGCCCTGGGGTTCCTAATATCTCAACGGTGAAGACGAACAGAACCTAGAAGCAAAGATGGCTATGCCCAGGTATTAAGGAAGAAAAAAGCAGGGGAGCCGAAACCGGTGTGGCTCAGTGGGTAGAGCGTCGGCCTGTGGACTGAAAGGTCCCGGGTTCGATCCCGGTCAAGGGCATGTACCGTGGTTGTGGGCACATCCCCAGTAGGGGGTGTGCAGGGGGCAGCTGATCGATGTTTCTCTCTCATCGATGTTTCTGACTCTATCACTCTCTCTTCCTCTCTGTAAAAAAATCAAAAAAAAAAAAAAAAAAAAAAAAAAGCGTGGGAAATTACCTCATATATTGAATCAAACACGTGGCTAAACGTGGGCAGGATAGTCAAGCCTAAGTACGTCTCGGAGAGAGCCTCCACAAGTGACCTTTGAGGTTTGGTTCACTCGCCCAAGCTGATCTCTCCACTTGAGAAAATGTCATTGGATATCTCAGCAGATAGCAGCATCTCAGAGCCGGAGGCTGGGAAACAGCCAACAGGCTGCCCGGCACTATGGCCCCATTGTTTGGAGATGCATGAACTGCAAGGCGGGAGGGATTTGCTTGGGAACAACCTTTGCCTGAAGTTACTTCCTGAGATCATGTGCAGTTGTCCCACAACCAGCTGCTTCTATTTTATTACAACGAACGGGACGTTGCGGAGGGCGAACAGTAGTGGAGAAACTGGAGATCGCCGATCAAGTAGCAGAATCTAGGCTGGAAGAACTTAGAGGCCCGGTTTGGCTCCTGTGCCCATGGCTGAGCCGGCTCTAAAACAGACCAACCAGCGGTCATCTATCCAGCTTTTGTTGGAGTATCTTCAACGCTGGGCAGCCCACGATGTGTCAAAAAAGCTCAGTCAGTGCTACTTATTAGAATCTTTTATACAGGGTGGGGCTAATGTAGATTTACAGTTGTGAGTACCCAGAACAACGTTTGTTCTTGTATTATTTTTGTATTAATTATTGTGTTATTTCATCATTTTTATTGATTTTTAGAGAGAAAAGGGGAGAGGGAAAAGGAGACAGAGAAAAACATCAATTTGTTGTTCTACTTATTTATATTCATTCATTTGTTGATTCTTTTCTCTTTTAAATATGTTTTTGTTGGTTTCAGAGAAGAAAAAAGAGAGAAATAGAAATATCAATGATGAGATAGGAACATTGATCGGCTGCCTCCTGCATGCCCCCTACTGGGGATGGAGACTGCAACCTAGGCATGTGCCCTGACCAGGAACCCAACTGGGACCTCCTAGTTCATGGGTCAGCACTCAACCACTGAGCCACACCGGCCAGGTATTGGTTGCTTCTTGTATGTGCCCTGACCAGGGATCAAACCCGCAACCTTGGCATATTGGAACAACGCTCCAACCAAGCCACTTGGCCAGGGCTGTATTATTTTCCCATATGAACAACTGTAAACCTATTTCTGCCACACCTGTATATAGCTGAAGTCAGGCTCTCTATAGCTTCCTAGAGCCATTAAGAGCTAATCACATATTCCAGAGGTCAAGGAATTAGATTAGCCTAACAATTTACACCAGGAACTTATAACCTATTTTAGCTCTGTGTGTGTTGGCAGAGCTCACTGACACATTTGGTAGTGGGGAGGAGACAATCCTAAGTACTAAGTTTGGCTACTTCTGAAGTATTTTTATTAATTTCCTTTCAACAAGGTGATGAAAAAATAAAGTGTTCTCTGTGGAACTACAGTGCTCGAAACAATTTCAATAACTTTCAGCCAGTGCAGGAAGGAAGGGAGAAACAATCAAATCAGGGTGCTGGGCTTCTCAAGATTAACCCTGGATATTAAACACTGTCACGGTATGTCGTTCGTGGCTGTTTTATATCTGCCACCGCTGAGGAAAAGGAAAATTAATTTTTCCATTTTGGTAATAGCTTGCCGTTTACTGCAGCAATATCATCCTTACACCTGCACCCTCCTAGACTTGGTTCAAGGCTTGAGATATCCCAAGTGGAACCCAATTCTCTCACTGTCTGACTCTTATTTACCAGGCTCTGCTTTTACCTATGCGGATACCTAAACTCCACACAACTTAAGCTCCCGGGAGAGAAGCTGATCCAACCTCACTGTTTACAGTTCCCACTCATAGAGCTTGAAAAGAAAATTTACTCTGTCCCAACCATTTATGTAACTAACACTGTGGGTAACGCATTTCCAGTAATGCACGGAATTTAATTCCACAGGCAAGACTGAAATAAAGCTGACACACAGACGCACAGACACAAAAACGGGTGTAGATTTAACCATGTTCATTACACCTTTCTAGCTCTTTCCTCGGAAAAGTTAAGCAAGCTTCAAAAAAAAGCTAAGCTTCTATTACAAAGGAAGATGGGAAGGAGATAAACTACTTACATTCAGACAGTGGTTTGAGGATAGTCTGGCTTTTGACATCCGACTCTACAATTTCAATAGCTCTCCTATAAAGAAATATTTCTAAAATTAATTTAGGCTCAGCCAAACCAAACACCACACCAAACCACTCGGCTCGAAATCAGACATATTAACAGAAAGACATGTTTTATCATTTAAAAGCCCCCAAACAGAACTAGGCTATGTCTCAGCGAAAGGACACTTAGTTGTCCTGAAATAATTCATAGACCAGGCAATTCGAGAACTTCCACACTACCGTTTCCTCTGATGGATGCCAAGTAGGTCATCATACATGGAGCCAATGAGAACATCTCCGATGAGGAGAAACATCACGGATAGGAGAGAGAACACAGAGCGTGGGCAGTGGACTACAGACAGCCCGGACCAGCCATCCACACCAACCCTGACAAGGGAGTCCTCCGTTTTAGACACTGCCATCTGTGGAGGCCAGACCAGGCCAGCCGACAGGACTACTGCTCAGAGCTGGATTTTACCCAGGCAGTTTGCTGACTAGGGGAAACTTTCGGATCCAGCTAGGATCATGCCATCTAGCAGCAGGAAGAGCTTCCTCTCCCACTGCTCTCTCCAAACTGCTTTGCCCACAGGAAGCCACAAGCCAGACCTGGATCTTCTGTATGGCATATAGGGGGAGGTGGGACCAGCGGGCCAGCACAGCAAGTATCATTTTAATGGACCCAGTGCCCCTACTGGGAAGAAAAGAGATTTCATCAGTCAGCACGGAGGCTGTCCCCAGCGGGAGGGACAGGGGGATGAGGAGGGAGAGGTCTGGAGCACCACTGTGGGGACCGCTGGCTGAAGGAAGGGGTGCTCACAAAAAAAGCAAAGGCAGGCAAAAAAAAAAAAAAAAAAAATGTCTAAAGGCAAAGATGGTTCAGGTCCATAAATAAACCTGCTTGAGACCAGCTAATGGAAAAGTAAACTGGAGTCTTTTTTAATACAAGTGTAATTAACCAATCTATAATCACCACGGGGAGTGCCAGCAACATCTCATTTGTTCCTCCCTCGGTAGGTAATGGACTGATAATGTTTCAGACATTAACACGGGAGACATGCAGAACTCCCCGCTGAGAAACAAGCCCTCTTTTCTGAGCGTAAAAAAGTGGCAGAACGGAGCCTCTTAAACCACATTCACTTGAGTTACGCGAGATGATTAAGCAGCATTTCTTTTTTCTAATAAAAGCAGCCAGCGGGGCCATCGCTCACCTGCAAACATCCAGCGCTTTGCGAACGTCTCCAGAAACGGCAGAGACTTTCCGGGCACAGAACTGAATCGCAGCGCTGTCCAGGATCTGATCTCGGGAGACCTTCGCACGAGACACAGAAGGCGACAGTTTGAACTATAAGAGTCCTCCGCTTTGTAATTCAGATCCCAGGCATAAATATGTTCACATGTAAGTCTATGTTGGATTTGGCCACCCTGTAGGGTCTAAGACACAGTGGTGCTCAACCTTCCTAATGCTGTGACCCTTTCATGCAGTTCCTCATGTTGTGGTGAGCCCCAACCATAAAATTATTTTCATTGCTACTTCATAACTGTCATTTTGTTAGTTATGAATCGTAATGCAAATATTTGTGTTTTCAGATGGTCTTAGGCGAGTAGAGTCTAAGACAATCGGTAAACACAGATATTTACATTACGATTCATAACAGCAGCAAAATTACAGTTATGAAGTAGCAACAAAAATAATTTTATGGTTGGGGGTCACCACAACATGAGGAGCTGTATTAAAGGGTCGCGGCATTAGGAAGGTTGAGGACCACTGGTCTAAGAGATGCCTTTTCTGTTCTAGAGTAAATGGAGATTTGCCCTGGCTGGTTTGGCTCAGTGGATAGAGCATCGGCCTACAGACTGAAGGGTCCCAGGTTCGATTCCAATCAAGGGCATGTACCTTGGTTGCGGGCACATCCCCAGTAGGGGGCGTGCAGGAGGCAGCTAGCTGATGGATGTTTCTCTCTCATCAATGTTCCTAACTTTCTATCCCTCTCCCTTCCTCTCTGTAAAAAATAAAATAAAAAAAAATCAAAATATATATTTTAAAAACAAGTAAATGGAGATTTACTTATGAGACTGGTATAGCCTATACAATAAAGAGATAATATGCAAATTAACTCTCACACCATTACAAGATGGCCACACCCACAGTGGAGGTGGGGTTCCTGTAGCAAGTGACTAGCAGGGACCTGAGGGTGCAACCCCCAAGGGGGCAGAGTTTGACAGGGATGGGGCTGGTTGGGTCTGGATCTCACCCACTGGGAGTGGGCCTAGCAGGTTTGGGTCTCATGCAATTTCAAGGCATGTGTGAGTAGGGACTTGACTCTGGGTCCCACAGCACACCCAGACTCTGACAGGAGGGAGATTTTCATACACATTTTACTAATCTTCTTTCTCTCTGACATTTCTATTATAAGAAAGGGCAAATAGCAATATTAAAATATTTCCTCTAATTAATCCCCTTTTAATGTGCACGAATTTCATGCACTGGGCCACTAGCATGTTCATAAATGGAAAAAAGAAAGCAATCAGATCTTAAATTAGCAAAACTAATAAAACCTATTTGGTCATTTTCCAAAGAGAACGTTTTTTGAAAAAGAAGCATTTGAGTGATTCCTCTCTTATTTTTATTTCAACACTGAGGCACCCAATAAATGGAGCCATGGGTGAAATTCTTATAAAAATGTTCTCCCTACGGCCAATAGGAACTGCATGGTTAGTAATGCCATCCAAACAAAACATTTTAGAGCTATTGTTAGATTTCCCCCCAGGAACACACAACTTGGTACAATGTGCCACTCACTTGATTAAGTCGATCCTGCAAGATAGTGGCTATCTGATTCCTGGTGTAAGGTGGGAAGTTCAAAAGCCGTGGCCTACATTTCTCTCTAGCTTGAAGCCTTGGCAGAATTCTGTCTGTGAGATCCAAGGTATTAGCAATGCCTGCGGAGGAGATAAATAACACTAGCCATCAAACTATCCTACGAGGAAAAATAAACCACCTGAAAGCTGAATAAATTTTCCAGTTATAATCCAGCATTCCAATTGTTGCTTCCCACTTGCTGCCCCCTCCTCCCCACCCAATGCTCATTAGGTCAGATGTATATAGTCAGCACAGAATGCACTTTTCAAGTTAGGGTTGTTCACCGGTAAGCAGAATCAGACACTCCAAAAATCAACACTGCACACCTCTGAAATGTAGTTTTATGTCATTTCCATTCAGACTTAACAAAACTGATTTTCCTTAGATGAAAATTACTATTATTTTAGAGTAATGTCCTTATTTTGATAAGAAAGATGATTTAAAATAAAATAGGTGATAAATAAACAAGAAATTAAAAAGGAATTCTTAAGAATCACTATGTAACAGTAACAAGTGAGCACTCACCAATCAGCACCAATCGAGAATTGCTCAGCCATGGCCATTCAAACAGTGTGTACAACACATCCTGCCCTTTGCTGTCCAGCTGATCCATCTCATCCAGCACCAGCACGCTACACGGAAAGAGAAACCATTAGTGCCCGCATGCACTTCCCTAGCTCTCCATCTGTCTGGGCTGGGCTGGCTCTAGGTCACATTCCTACAGCAGAGATCAGTTTGAAGATCATAATTTGTCCTGTCTCCAGTCACGGTTACAAATGGTCTCACCTCCACCATCATGAAAATGTACCATTATACGTTTTTCAAGCACTTAAGTTTAAAAACATTTTTCCAATTTAAAATTAGATGTCATTTTCCTTCTCTTTTTCCTTTCAAGCATATGTAACTACCATTCACAGAGCAAATATAGGGAAACTAGAGACCTGGTACATCAGGGGGGGAGGGGGTTCCCCTTGGTCTGGCCTGTGCGGATTGGGTTGAAACTGGCTCTCCGACATCCCCTGAGGGGTCCCAGATTGCAAGAGGGTGCAGGCCAGGCCAAGGGACCCCACAGGTGCACGATGGGGGCCAGGGAGGGCCCTAGGGCATGTCCAGCCCGACTCACCCAGTCCCTATCGGCTGGATCCCAGCAGCAAGCTAACCTACTGGTCAGAGCATGTCATAGTGACTGGTCCAACAAACAGTTTGATACTTAGCATATTAGGCTTTTATTATATAGGATGTCTTTTTATGAAAAACCAATACATTCAATTCAAGAGATTAACATGTGAGCCGAAACCGGTTTGGCTCAGTGGTAGAGCGTCAGTCTGCGGACTGAAAGGTCCCGGGTTCGATTCCGGTCAGGGGCATGTTGGTTGCGGGCACATCCCCAGCTGGGGGTGTGCAAGAGACAGCTGGTTGATGTTTCTCTCTCATGAACGTTTCTAGCTCTCTATCTCTCTCCCTTCCTCTCTGTAAAAAAATCAATAAAAAATATATATATATATATATATATATATATATATATATAAAGAAAAGAGATTAGCATGTGAGTTTGAGGGTGAGAGACCTTGCAGATTTAGAGAGAGCAACATGCAGCAGACCAATACTTACACCATGGGGCCCTTCTCTGCAGTAAAATGGTTTTCCAGTTTCTTCATCATGTCCTTCCCAGCTGGCCTGGATGCTCCTTCCTGACCAATTTCCTGAGCAATCGCTGGGAATACAGCCTGGGCTCTCCTCAAGGACATGCAATTCAGCATGATAGTTTTAAAACTTTTCAGCTCCTTCTAGAAAAATACAAACATAGGAGTAATTTTAGCCTCGGATAAAGACTTGATGGGACCTGACGTGTCTGAGGCGTTAACAGCAAACGAGAAAGAATAAGCTCCACTTTCATCGGGAAAGATCCAGACAACGAAACCGAAAATGTCTTTTTCTGGGGAAAAATCTCAAGTAAGACTTCTGACTTTTTCTTAACCTTTCCTAACAAAGTGCCATTTTAGCAAGAGCATCAAAACTCAAGACGCTCGAGGTACCTTGAGGTCTTGCAGAATCCGGCTTAAGCAGGCTGTTTTTCCAGTTCCGGGAGCACCAGAGAGATAAAGACTTCCAGCTTTTCTGCCACAGATGTGCTCCCTCAGGAAACTCCTGATGACATCCATCTCCTTCTCCCTGGCAGGCAGCCGATCGGGGACAGCTGTGTTCAGGACCAGCTTTGCTTGCTGGTAGCAAGTGCCTGCGCCAGACAGGAAAGGACAATTAGATACGACGAGGCGACCGGGAAGACCCGCTGGGCTTCCTCTGGGTTCACCAGCCTCGGTGCGAGGCTGCACGGACAGCTGCTGTGGAAGAACGAACCTTCTTGCTTAAACAGCCTCGCGCACACAGGTTCCTTCTCCGGGGGCCGTCTCTGCTCAGGGTGTGCAGTGATTTCCTGACCTTTTCGAACAGAGGAACACGTTTTGTTTTGGTGAACTCCGGCTTGCCTTCTCTTGCCCGGAGACTTAACTGCCAGCTGGTTGTCAAATACCAGTTTGCGGCCCCTGGGTGCGTGGGAGTGAGGGGGACCGTTCTCTTTCTTGCTCAGCTTTGGTGGCGAGCAGGATGATAAACGGGGCGTATTGCATTGGTTGTCGTCACCTGAAACACATTAAGATCAAAGCGCGGTCATTCGTGGCAGTGATGAGGACAGGACTTGCAAAGATCCCGGCCTCCCCTAGAAAGAGGTGAATTCCTGCCTCAACTACAGCCGCCAAAATAAAACGCCTCGTTGTAGTAGCAAACACTGGCCACCAGGTGGCGGCACTGAGCCTTACTGTTGTTGGGTAGAAAGCAAACTGGTTTCAGTTTGACATTCTAAGATGGCTCTGAAACGGGGTTTCTCGACGTCAGCACCACTAATATATTAGACCAAATGATCCTTGGGTGTGTCCCCGGTGCATTGTAGAATATTTAGCAGCATCCCTGGTCTTTATCCTATATGCCTGAAGCACTCCCCAGTTTCCACAAGCAAAAATGTTTCCAGATCCTACTATCCAATCACCCCTCCTTAAAAACAAACTCTCTAACACAAGAAAGGATTACCAACTACCTTTCTAAAACAAGAGCATCCCCCGTGTCTCTTAATTTCACCACCATTCAGGCAGGTTTCAAAAATACAAAAATACTATCCGGTACAGTTAACGGCAAGTTCCCTTTTTTTAACAAGTTTATTTTTTTATTGTTGACAGTATTACAGATGTCCCCAATATTTCCCCCACCCCAAGCCCTCACCCCACTATTCTGGGTCCATGGGCTATGCATGCAAGGTCATTTAAAATACCGACAGAGCCGAGACCGGTTTGGCTCAATGGATAGAGCGTCGGCTTGGGGACTGAAAGGTCCCAGGTTCGATTCCGGTGAAGGGCATGTACCTTGGTTGCGGGCATATCCCCAGTAGGGGGTGTGCAAGAGGCAGCTGGTCGATGACTCTCTCATCGATGTTTCTAGCTCTCTATCTCTCTCCCTTCCTCTCTGTACAAAATCAATAAAATATATTAAAAAAAATAAAAATAAAAAATAAAAATAAAATACCGACAGAACTACGTTCAACGAAGACACTGAAGATCAGGCCTATAACATACTTGGATAAGTGATCTTAACGCTGAAATTTAGTGAGAACTTAGCAACCATCCTGGAAAAAACCCCAAAGTGAATCAAGGGGTCTTCACAGAACTTCCCTGCTTCAAAGGATGAGGCGTTCTTATTACTGAGTCAAGGGAGGCCACAGAGGACGCACAGAGGGTGGCTTACCCAGGCGCTTCCTGGGGCTGAGGGGCAGGCTTTTTGCACACGGAGTAAGGGGGATGGCCTTGACCTTGGTCAGCTCTACTTTGGTGTCACTCGAGGTTTTAGCTTTGTCCAACGTCCGAGACGGCTTCTTTTTTGGAAAGCCGATGGTGGCCTGTGACTGGGATCGGGTTTGAGGCATGATGGCAACACACTGGGCACGGGAAAGAGAACAGGAAGGAAAGCCAGTCAGCACGTAAAACTGAAGGAAAAACACCTCGCATGGAATTCAAGCTGGTGACCAGCACTTATTTCATACCTAAATGATAGCAATACTTGAGCACCCAGTTCTGCTTCCCATCCAAATCTATGCAAGAATAGCAAAAACTTGTCTACTAGCTATGTGTATGAAGCTGTTAAGAACAGTTTAGGTGCCGAACACCAGTTAGGCTCAGTGGATAGAGCATCAGCCGGCGGACTGGAAGGTCCCAGGTTCGATTCCAGTCAAGGGCATGTACCTTGGTGGCACGTACATCCCCGGTAGGGGGCGTGCAGGAGGCAGCTGGTCGATGTTTCTCTCTCATCGACGTTTCTAGCTCTGTCCCTCTCTCTTCCTCTCTGTGGAAAATCAATAATATATATATATATATATATATATATATATATATATATATATATATATATAATTTATATATATTATTATTATTTTTTAAAGAGAACAGTTTAGGTATAGCCCCATCAAAGTTTCACAAATATGACTACCTTAGGGGTAGGTACTATTATTAAAATTACCCCGAAGATGAGAAAACTGAGAGCACAGAGGCCCGAAGTCACCGCGAACCGGGCACTCTGGCTCCCAGTGCTTCCCCGGGGGAGCGATGCAAGAGGTTTATCCTTATTGATCTCTATCCACTTCTAACCCCCTGACCCCAGCCCACCATCTTCCAGATTTACAGTCTCTCTCCTCTGCACCCCCACCCCCTGACCCCACTCAGCACCCAGCCTCCACTCCACACAGCTCTCAACCCCACCCGGCACGTCTCCCTCCCACCTCACCTAAGCACAACTGCCAGGCTGCTCTGACAGCGCACACTTCCCTTCCCCTTCCTTTTCTCCGTCCCCTTCCCCTTCCCCTTCCCTTCCCCTTCCCTTCCCTTCCCTTCCTTTCCCACCTCCCGCGATCTGAGCTCCGCTCCGCTCCACTCCCTGCACCCGCGGGCCTTGTCACTCCTCGCCCCCACCCCCCTGCCCCCAGCCTCCCGGGGCAATCCTCTCCTCTCCTCCCCGCAGGGCTGCGTCACCTCAGGGCCGGATCCTTCCCTCCTCTCCGCACAGGGCTCCAGGGGTTCTTCACGAGCCCCTGAACACACCGGCGGCAGCAAAGTCCAGACACATTCGCGCCAAATGTGCACAGCCCCAGCTTTCCGGCCTCCCGCCAAAGGCCAGGCAGGTTTCCGATTGGCTGTCGCCGGAATGCCGCGCGCCAAGGCCAACGCCCACCCTCCCCTGCGTCCAATGCACAGCCAATGAGAGAGTCCCAGGTCTCAGAGCCCTCTTAAGGCCACGCCTACTAAGCGGAGCGGGCCGCGGGGGCAATCTACATCCGGGACCTCGGCCGGAAAGACGTGAAGGGAGCGACTCTGCGTAAGGCGAACTGGTCACGCCGCAAAGCTCGGCGGGAGATGTAGTCTTTACCGCACGTGACTTTGCCTTTCTCTCGATGGGAGGTACAAAGATGTGGTCGCTCCTTCTCAGGGCTGCACTTAACTCATTTTCGTTATTCTAATGGCTACATTTTTTAAAGAGCTACTACTGTGTTTCCCCGAAAATAAGACATCCTCTGAAAATAAGACCTAGCGCAACTTTGGGAGAAAAAATTAATATAAGACACTGTCTTATTTTCGGGGAAACAGGCTATATCCCTATCATTTTGGGGACGGTTCTGGGGGTCAGGTATGATGCTAGGAGCTTTTCTCAACCCTGCAAGGCACAAATGTGCATAAGGTTAATTAGGGGTCACAGTATCTTGTTGAAGGTTCTAGGATCCAGATTTCCTGACACCCAAACCAATTTTGTTGTTGTTAAAGTTCCACGCATGCATAATGAAATATACAACCCCTCATTATAATATCCCGCTGATTTGTATTTCAAAGGTGAGAAATAAAGCCAGGCCTTTTCTTTTATTCTGTTAAAGGTAAGAATATATTGTGTACCTTCTTATCATTAATCCCATCAATCAACACTTTGTAGGGAGTGGAGAGAATTATGACCCCTTCATTTAAAATAAAAATTTTATGGTTAAACACTAGGGTTTTAGGGCCAGAGAAGATGGCTATAGAAGAAGAGGCAAGCTGAGCTTTTAATGAAAAATATAAATTAGAGCAGTAATTTATAGGTCAGCTTCCAAAGCTAATAACATAGCGAAGCCCCAGATTCTGTTAAAGGCCAAAATTCTAGGTGATGGTAAGCATTTATCTTTCACCCTTCAATATCAAATAAAATAGAGCAATAAAGCTGAGAAACAGGAAAGCAATATTACAATCAGTCTATGATTATAATTATAATTATAATTAGTTCATATAGTAGATAAGAGCCAATACCAAGTGCTTAAGTGTATGCCAGGGACTGAGTTCAAGCATTTTACCTATGTCACCTCATTAATTCTCACAAGCACCCCATGAAGTTGGCATTATTTCCATTTTACAAATGAGGGAAAGGAAATAGAAGGGGTTGAGTAAATATTACCAAAGGCACACATTAGTAATAGGAAGAGCTGGAATTTGAACTGGGAAAGTCTGATAGGAAATCAAACTCTCAACCACTTAAACATGGGGGAGGATTAGACTGATGCAGGTTCTACAGTGGCCTTCTAAATAGGGAGAGATGGTTAAGGCGCACGTTTTGGGAAGGCTTTCCAGGAGCCCAAAACTGTAAGAGTGAAGAGATTAGGCAGACATGATAGTAAAAAGTGTTATACTAACATGGAGGCTTTTTAAAAAAATATTTTTTATTGATTTCAGAGAAGAAGCAACAGGATGTGATAGAAACATCAATGATGAGAGAGAATCACTGATTAGCTGCCTCCTTACACCCCCTACTTGGGCTGAGCCTGCAACCCAGGCATGTACTCTTTTTAATTTATTGATTTTTTACAGAGAGGAAGGGAGAGGGATAGATAGAAACATCGGTAACTGCCCCCTGCACACTCCCTACTGGGGATGTGTCCGCAACCAAGGTACATGCCCTTGACCAGAATTGAACCTGGGACCCTTCAGTCAGCAGGCTGAGGCTCCATCCTCAGAGCCAAACCATTAAGGACCTAAAATGGAGGCTTTTTGCCCAGCTGGCATAGCTCAGTGATTGAGCATGGACCTATGAACCAGGAGATCATGGTTCGATTCCTGGTCAGGACACATGCCTCGATCCCCAGTGTGGGGCGTGCAGGAGGCAGCCAATCAAAGATTCTTTCATCATTGATGTTTTTTTCTCTCTCCCTCTCCTTCTCTCTGAAATTAATAAAAATATATTTAAAATGAAATAAAATGGAGGCTTTTGACCAGATGATATTTTTGATATCTTAATAGGGCAATAGAACCTAAAAAGAAACCTTCACTGCTCAGATTTCTTTTTATAACCGGGCACCTGAAAATTGTCCTTCGTAACCTGACATGGTAACATGTGCCCAGCCAGCCTTAAGGGACAGTGAGCCACCTCTCTCCGTTTCGTGGGGGAAAGGGAGCAGAGGAAGCTGTAAGTACTTAGCATACATATTGGAGCCTTGAAAAGCCCAGGAAGGATAGCACTGGTCTATAAAAAAGCTTGCGGGAGTGAATGACCACGGTAGCAGCAGGCTGAGAACCACAGGATGCCAGATTGAAAGGTCTCTAAAAGCTTACCGCCTGGAGGCATTCCCTTTCCAATATTCCAGTAACATGCTGCACACACCACATTGCCGTTTCTTGCTTCTGTGCCTCTGTCCTTGCTACTTCCTGTCTGGAATACTGCTCACCATCTTCCTTCACTGGCTAATTACCACGAAGCTTTTTTAAAAAATATATATATATATATTTTTTAAACTGATTTCAGAGAGGAGGGGAGAGGTAGGAAGAGATAGAAACATCAATGATGAGAATCATTGATTGGCTGTCTCCTACATGCCCCACAGTGGGGATCTGAGCCCACAATTCAGGCATGGGCCCTGACCGGGGATCGAACTGTGACCTCCTGGTTTATAGGTCGATGCGCAACCACTGAGCCACTCTGGCTGGGCCCAGGAAGCCTTTTTAATAGCCTGTGGAGGTTTCTCTTGGTAGCTGTCCTGAAGTCTTCTACTAGATTCTGAGCGCCCTGGAGGCCAAGGCCCTGTGCTCTCATCTCCATATTACAGATGCCTGGCACAGTGAAGTATGCAATAAATGCTTGCTGAATGGAAGGACATGTCTGCCAAGTGAGGCATCCGCCTTTCTCATCAAGATTTTTTGTGGACAGATACCATAGAGTCCTTTAAATCTCACACACCTACACCTAGACATGGAAAATAAATCCAATTATATGTAAAATACAATCCAGACTGGGTTCCAGTGATGTCAGAGGTGAAGTATTTTCCCCTCAAGTTATCCTCTAGGGTAGTTAGGATCCTGAGGTTGACATTTTCGTTCTCTTACCTCTGCAGAGTAATGGGAAGTCAGAGACAACAGTGAGTCACACAGTTTGTGGCTGAGTTGGGGCAGGAAATACTTAAGAGGCACATTCACAGTGAGCAGCGGTGTCCCAGTAGTCATTAGACTGGGCAAACTACTGCCCTTATCAACTAACTCATACACAGTATCATGAGGGAAGGAATCAGATCACACTGGAAGGACCTGTCCGGCATCCTGTTGTACAAGTACATATACACATACACACACATACACACACATTAGCAGAACCATCCCAATAGGATGGAGAAAGCTTATAGCATTAGGAAGTTGAGGGTCACTTAGGCAAGCTCTATTTGAGGGCTACTGACAGTTACAAGAGTAACAAATCAAAATAGGTAGTTTATTAATCATATTAATAACAATGATGGGTCAAATAATCAGGAATTAGGCCAATTTGGCAGGTATGGATGAAAATGAAAGGAGCCTCATAGATTTTGATATCTGAAGTATGTGAGAGTGATTCATATACACACCCATCCTGAAATCAGTATGGGAAACAATTGCAAGACCTTTGCTCATGATGAAAGTGCAAGTTAAGCTCAGGAAGTCCAATGGTGATTGTGTCAGCTGACCATAGTAAGCAGAGAATGTTGGTTTAATGTTTACACCTGAAGTCAAAGTTCAAGAAAGCCTGCTAAGATTTAACTTAAACAGTAGTGAAGAAAAATAGGCAACACCCACGTAAAAACAGACGCACACACACAATCTACAGGCTCTGCCCCCACCTTTGCTTCCACGCCTCAGTGTGAGAATCTGGCGTGCAGCACAGGCAGAAAGAATCGCAAGGGATTCAAAGCAAGGACAGAAGGCCAGGAAGCGCCCTGGGTTTCCTGAAATCATAAGCAAAAGGGAGTTAGGTGGCAAATATAAACAATGGCCAACTCTATCAGAACCACCCAGTCAGTATGGCTACCCAGAACTGTGCTTTTCAAAATGTAACAGGCGGGGAGGATAGAAAACCCTTAGCAGCTGCAGATGCTTCTGCCCAAGTCAGTGTGCCTACTTCCCGAGAGGACCTGGGGTCAACAACCACACAACCTGGAACATGAGGTCACAGGTCTCCTCTCCTCTCTAGGCCACCACAGGAGGCGGGATTCCAGACAAGAGTACACAGTTCTCAGTTGTTGTTTTGTAAGCAACATTTAATTAAACTGCACGGCATCCAGGAGAGACAAATGTACCAAAGAATCCAACCTGAGACCAGATTATACATTGTAGAGGGGGTTGGAAAAAAATCAATGCTAATTGGGAGAGAGAGCACTGTAATCAGAATACAATTCCAAAATAAATCATACAATAAATTATTTTTTAAAAGAAAACTGACACACATATACACACTCACACTCTTCACACATGCGTTCTGGTCTTTTATTCAGTGTTGACTGACTTCCATGCTGGTAGTGTCAGGAAATGACGAAAGACAGATGTGAGAAAAGTAGCATGGCCCCTCTGCCATCAGTAAAATAAGATTTAAGACATGTAGGGAACCCACTGATGTTAGAAACAAGAGTAGAAAGAACAGCAGTTATCAAGGAAGATTTTAATTGCTTCGAAGAGGGAGAGAGGAAGAAAGCACAGAAATCTAACACAAGTAAAGGCACAATGAACGTGGAGTCGAATGGAACCAAACCCTTCCTTCGGTTAGACAGTTATTGTTTTCTTTTTTTGTATGTTTTGAAGGTGGTTGTAGTTCAGTTTCATTTTGATGAGTCTTGAAGGCAGAGCTGTAATGCCTTCCACTCCCTAAGTTTAGGGTAGCCCAGAAAGCTCCCCTAACTACATCGCCAGGGACTGAGATTTAATAGGGAAAGAAACTACAACTGGAATGTGAAGAATTTGATCTGTGGTTGATTGTAGGTTGGGTTTCCAGGACAGACAGCTCAGTGTAGTGCCATCAAAGGGCCTCAGATGCCCTATACTCCACCCCCCGAGCTTCGCAGCAGACCCTGGAGTCACCCTTCTCCTCCACTCCCATAAGCACTCAGCCTACAGATTATTTCAAGTGACCAGGAGAATTAAAACACACCGCAACCTGAGTTGCTCTGTAGCAAGTCTATTTACAATTTTCCTCACCTCTCCCTGGAGGTAAATCTGGGTTTCAAGTTGGGAAACTGTGGGGTGAGGGGTGCCCCCAGTGCAATGGCCAGTGGCTAGTCTCTGCCTTTGCCAGCTGGGAGGACAGCAGCTTCACATCCACTGGGTGGGGTAGCCCTGACCCTCTCTCTGGGCACCCAGGCTGGGAAAATAACAGGCTCTCCCCATGACAGAGTAAAGCACTCCTGGAATATCGAAGTGCTTTGATCCAGGTTTGGTGACCAGAGAAGAGGGGGGAAGGAGGGCATCTAAGCTCATTTAAAAACCTGGAGGCCACTGCCCTACTTCCCGGAAAGGGCGGTAAGAAACAACTATAGTGTTACATTTTCCCCACTAGAGAAAAACATCATGAAACCAAACCCACACAAGGGCTTTTAACACAGTTTCCTGCTTAGTTGGGCAAAGTCTCCTCCTCCTGGGAGGGGAGAAGGGGGTTATGGAACTGGGCAATAGCCTCAACATGAGACCAGCCGTCTCCCACGGAAGAGATGACATTCCCAGCAGCAGATAAAAAGCCATTTAAAAGGTGAGAAGTTGTAGTGCTCTTGCAGCCAGCCCACCTTCGATCTATAGTACAAGCTTTTTACAACATACAAAATAGATCAATAACTATGAGCATCACATTCCCATTATTCAATAGTAAATATACATGATAATAAATCTGTTATTAACAGAGGGACCAAATATGGATAAGGCAAAAGACATTTAAATAAGTACTGTGTCACCGACATGCGCTGAAGAAAATGCATCAACTAGATCCAGATCGAGGCCTTTTCCCATGAGGCCAAGAAAACAAAAATACACCAATACCCACGTGACACAGTCCAAATGCTGGGGAATCTGAGCAGCAGGTCAAGGGAAGATATCAGCCCCAATGAAAAACTGTGGTTTGGCTTTTACTTGTGATACTTATTTTGATGTTCTATGTTTAAGGAAGGGGGAAAAATACATTTCTATAACATTATACAAAAGGCATCAACTCCCATTTCAAAAATAAATGGGAAGACTTCACAGTCCAAGTTGAGTACTGATCAGCATCTACCCTGGAACTCTGCTGCAGTAGACACTCCTGTTCTCCCTCCATTAGTGTCCCCTCTCTCAGCTCTACTCACTTCAGGATGCCAGGGACATTGCTGGGAGGTAACTACTAACAGGTTTGGAAGTAAGAGAAGTGAGATGACAGACCTAATCACTGTTTGTCCTAAGAGGCAATATGGTCCAGGAGATGATCAAGGCTAGCAGACCCTCACAAATAACCCAAGTGGAGCCCTCTCTCTTCTGGCACTGGGAAGACTTGGGTTTCATCCGGCACCACACAAAGATCCTCAGTCTGTGATCCAATAGGCTGGAAAGGTCCCTAAAATAGTTCAAGCCTGTGATGCAATTTTTTAACAGACTTTCCCCAATCATTCCAAAAAAATCACCTTGGCCTCCTTGCTCTTACTTCAAGCTTTGCGTAGCCTCTGCACTTGGCAGCAGCAAACCAAACCCCTGTGTGAGGAGCCCAGGAGCCCTGTTCTGCTGTTCTTTAACTAGGACCCGGAAGACGGAGAAACAACACATTGCTGGCTGCCAAAGAAGATAACCGGGCTGAGAGTCATCTCACCGAAGTCTTTGTGCTTCTTGGCACAGAGGAATCTTTGACTCAGGAGCCTCACTGTTCTCTCCCCTGTGGTCTTGGAAAGGCAAGGGGGGAGAGAAAAAACAGGAAGCTCCTTTTCAGTCAGTGGGCTGTGAACTCTACAACAAGCTTCACCTTCCCTTCTTCATCACCATGGCGTACCCATCAAAGGGTGCAGTTTCTGGTCAGGACTGTCCTTCAGGACCAGCCAGGAAAGACTGAGGTAGATTCAAGGTCTTACATAAGACCAGAACCCCAGCCCTATCTTCCTATCTCCCACCAGAAGTTTTGGAATTTGTGAACATGGAATGAACAAAAGTGAGGGGCTGGGTGGTGGAGGGAGGAAACATCATCCCTCAGCCTCAGCACCCTGAGGAAATGGAGGGGGGAGGAGAGGAGAGGGAGGACTCAAATGGCTCCTGGTCCCTTTGCTGCAGAGAAACTGACTAACACTAAAGGCTCGCCAGTTTACTTACCTCCCTTTTTATTAGATGTTTAGTTCAACTGATTAGTATTTAGTGTTTATATCCAACTTCTCTCTGGAGTGAGGATATGGGGTAGAGTAAGAGCAAAACCAAAATGTCCCCCAAAATAAAGCAGACCCATTCCCTTATCCTTTCTCAAACTTGACCTTTAAAACAGATCACTTCTCTGCAAACTCCTTTCTTGTTTCACTAAAAATGTCCCCATCCCCCACGTCCTGGCCATGTCAGCCTCCTCAATGATAACATATACCCGCCAAGCTTCCCCCAGAGTGGGTAGGAGGAGGTAGGAGTACCGTTCGCCGCCCTGCCCCGACAATGAGTTAATCCATCACAAGGCACCTTTCCCCGCGAGGAAAGCAGGCGACATGGAAGCTGTTTCCTCATCTGGCTAGCAGGGATTGCTGAGGAGGGATGGACACAGGGTTTGAGACCCTACTGTCAATATAGAGTCCAATCACCAAGTCCAGAAGACAGATGCATAGATGGAGGCGAGCTGGGAGGACGCTTGGAGTCTAGAGGTTGGTTGCACTGGAGAAACACGTTAGGAGTTCTCATGCAGGTTTCAGGGGAATGGGAGGGACCATCTGAGAGGAGGAGAGGGTCCATCCTTTTCCTGAGGAGCAGGACCAACCCAGGCTTCACCTGAGAATGGGTGGCAGAGGTGGGGCTCCACGGGCAGCTGAAAAACATGAACAATAAAAACCACATGCACAAGACTACCCACCAGATTCTGAATAACCCAAACATTTCGAAAATGAGAGACAGGCTCTATGAGCTAATCTTTAACACTGAGAGATTATGTTTTGTTTTGGTTTTTAAAGAAAATGAAGATGAGGAGAAACAAACTTTAAGAACATTTCTAAGAAAAGAACACTGATTCTTTTTTTTTATGCAATTATGGAAAAACCTTCATGACTACTCGTCTCACCTCGGTTTGTTTTGCTGGGATATACTCTCTGAAAGTGTTTATATTCTTCTGGAGCAGGAAAGTCTTCTACTGGATGGAAAGAATACTTTGACTCAAAATCATCTACAAAAGAAACAGAATATTAATTCATATCACCCTTCTGGCCCTCTGTACCACTTCTCACCCTCCCCTTTTTGGTCTCCATTCATTCTGATGTACGTGAGGGCCTGCCTTGCCCACGAAACCAAGGTTTCTAAGGACAGCATTGCTCTATGTGCCTTGTATGCCCAGAAGATGTGCTCAAAGGCTCTCTACATTAAGGGATTAGTCTTTGGCCTGGTTGTTTTGTTTGTTTTGTTAATCTTCACTCGAGGATATTTTTCCATTTATTTTTAGAGAGAGCGGGAGAGGGAAAGACAGAAACGATGAGAGAAACACATGGATTGGTTGCCTCCTGCCGGGCCCAGCCGGGGAGGAGCCTGTTACTGAGGTATATGCCCTTGACTGGAATCGAACCTGGATTCGATTCAGGTTGATGCTCTATTTACTGACCCAAACCGGCTAAGGCTTGACTTGGTTTTTAAAAATATTTCCACCAAAAATCAGGCATGTAACAGGAAAGGAGCACAGCTGTTTGAATGGGAAGAGAAAAAATATAATTCTTTAACAGCCCCTTAGATACTATCACCATGGAATACCAATGGAACTGAATCTACAAATTGGTAGAAATTAACCTAAAATGGGAATATTTGTCACCAATGAGTGAGAGTTCTGACCAGATAATTCCCTTTTGGCCCAGGTTATCCTCATGTAATTCTGCAACACAACACCTCATGGCCCCTGTGCCACCTTCCATGGCCCCTCCGTAAGAAGGCTCAAATGCTCTATGGGTGTGGCTGGATGACATTCCAAAGGACTTGATCTTTAAAGCAAAAACCCTGGCCCACCTAATCAGAATACACTAGAGCAAGGGTAGACAAGAGTGTTAGGTCTGAAAGGGACTGTACAGATCTTCCCTGGAGTCTAATGATACCTTTGGTTTGGATAACCCATGAACACAGTCAATAGGGTGGTGAAGGCCTGGGGTGAGGGCTGGGCTAGAAGGGATCCATGGGGGCCAAGGGAGACATATTTAATACTTTCAACAATAAAGATTTTAAGAATAAATAACTAAAGAAGTTAACGAGATGAAATTCGAGTTAGAGAGATAGGTTAAAAAAATTATCTTAGGTGAGGCCTAAGATTCATTGATAACCTTGAAGAGTTAATCTGACACACTCCTGATTTAGTCAACCTCATTTCATAGCTAAGGGAAGTGAGGCCCAGAGAGTGAAGCAACTTCCTTAAAGTAATACCAGCTAGTTAGTGGCTTTGGATTACTAGGTAAATATTGTCTACATACTGGGATTTTTGTGTGTGGCAGTTTTATAACTTTTTTGTATAATATCTATTTTATTGATTTTTTACAGAGAGGAAGAGAGAGGGATAGAGAATTAGAAACATCGATGAGAGAGGATCATCGATCAGCTGCCTCTTGCACACCCCCTACTGGGGATGTGCCCGCAACCAAGGTACATGCCCTTGACCAGAATCGAACCCGAGATCCTTCAGTCCGCAGGCTGACACTCTATCCACTGAGCCAAACCGGTTTCGGCAGTTTTATAATTTTCTTCAACAATCAGCAGTGAGTACTCATGCACATTAACTGTAGATTTTTAAAAGCGGTGACAGGTATGTAGGTAACGGACATCCAGAGACTGCGTGGTGAATCTTCTCCTCACTATGGTAGGGACATTCCTTATCCCTTTGGCTCAGGCAGCTTTAAGCCTAGTATCACTGTGTACATCGGAGTTCCATCTCCTTCATGGCAGATGTTTGCATCTCTTCGAGTGCTTCTTGAAACTCACTTCATGGACGTGCTTGTGAATGATGATGGGTCACTAACTCTGATGGCAGAAGGGGCCCTCTTCTTGCCCCCTTCTTTGTGGGAGCCGTTATGCCAGGCCCAAATTGGAAAGAAGGTTTATTTTGTTTTTAAAGGGCCAGAAAGGAGCTTTCCTTCCTAGGGGAATACTCACTTCCTGCCTGAGTAATCCTGAAGAAGATGAAGTCTCTGACTTAAAGGTAATCACACCTAATGATCCTTAGGGAGCAAGAGAATGGCTTTAGAGTTAGCATGACACCTGCTGATTTTACTTCAGTCTAGCCCAAAGCAACCCATGCTTACAATTTGCAAAAGGGAAGGAACATCAATGGATAGGAATTATTATAGAAGTCAGATGTAAAGTCAGGAGAGAAACTGCTGTGAACAACAGATATAAGCGACCATTCCCATTCTACTGGAATCAGGTCACCACAGGAACTATGAGACTACAACAGCTAGCTACTCACCCAAGAAAGACCGGACAGTGGTAATGGAATCTCTGTGGCCATTCCTCAAGGGTGGGGGAGGAGGAGGTGGCGGCCCAGCTGGCGTCCTGGAGGGCGGAGGTGGGGGCTTCCCCCGGTTCAGAGGTTCTGACCCGTGTCGGTATGGTGGTGGGGGAGGGGGAGCATCCCTGGCACCATTTCGGATCATGGGTGGTGGGGGTGGAGGAGCTGCAATTAAAATCCGAAGCAGTTAGGTCTGGCTGTATAGGCTGTGTGAGCCTCTGAGCACCATGTTAAACATCATATTCACTCTCCTCCCATCCCTGCTCTACCAAAGTTCAGAAGAAATGCATGACTCTTCTTCATTTTCCACGACAGTGAGTTAAGAACTCTCTGTATTCTTGATTTTTGCCTTGCTTTTCCATGTCTTCCTCCACAATGGTAATTTAGGGCTGTCTCATACTTAGTCTGTTCTACTGCAAAAAGCCTCCCAAATGTTCTTTTTGCTTCTAATCTCTTGTACGAATCCACTGTGTGCACCGTCAACTCACTCATCTCCCCAAACTTTGCTCAAACTTTTTCAAGAGCTCTGCAGTTCCTACATCATAAAGTTTCAAACTCTTAGCTTCCAATCCAATTGGGTTTCCCCCAATTATCCTCCTTTTTTATACAGTAACCCATTACCTCAGTGAGTCTGATCTCACCTTGTACTCTTCCTTCCTTTTTTTTCTTTCTTTCTTTTTGTTAATCCTCACCCGAGTATGTTTTTTTTCATTGCTTTTCAGAGAGTGGAAGGGAGTGAGGTAGAGAGAAAGTGAAACACTGATGTGAGATATACATCCACTGGTTGCCTCTCTCCTGCAGGCACTTGGACACAGGTATGTACCCTTGACCTGGAATCAAACCCACAACCTGTGGTATGTGGGCCAATGCTCTAACCATTAAGCCATGCCAGCCAGTTCTCCTCTTCCTTTCTTGACTTCTATGCTGGGTTAGGTACCCCTTGTCTGCACTCCCACTGTCACCTCTGTATCACCCCTTGTCTGCACTCCCACTGTCACCTCTGTATCTCAACCATTCTACTATATTGTATTATATGTATTCATTAGATGTGCCACCTCCCAGTATACTGTATATTCATCAAAGTCAGAGCATCGTCCATTCATCTAAGCACCCAACACAACCAAATGTACAGCACATGGTAGGCATTCAATCAACCTTTGCTGAATAAACCAAATTACATATGCATTGCTCTTGTGACTCCTCCCCAATACTTGGAAACGCCATCCCCCTTCCTTTACTACCAAATCCTAGCTATCCTTTAAGGCTCAACTCAAGTTTCCTCTTCTCAAGGCTTTTCCAAAGCAATCTACTCTATTCCAAACTCCCCCTACTTTGGTCTCCCAAAGCATTTATAGGGATGTCACTTTTTAAAAATATATATATTTTTATTGATATCAGAGAGGAAGGGAGAGGGAGAAAGAGAGGAACATCAGTGATGAAAGAGAATCATTCATCGGCTGCCTCCTGTACACACATACACTCCCACTGCCCACTGGGGATCAAGCCACAACCCGGGCCTGTGCCCTGACCTACAAACCAATCATGATCTCCTGGTTCATAGATCAACGCTCCCCAACTCCCTTAAGGGATTTCCATATTTTTATCTCCAAGGCCTCTCTTATTCCTGCATTTGTGAACTCATTCCAATTAGACTTTTACTTTCACCTTTCCTCCACCACTGCACTAATACCCAAAAAGATCCCATGTTGTTTGGAGTCCCCCAAAATGAATCCCATATTGCTGAGACCAATGTCATCTCGGGCTTCAACTTAACTGACCTAGCTGTAGCACTGGACACAACCCTAGAAGAAGTAGATGAGATTGTGTATTCTCTTTACAAAATAGCATGAAAGCAGACAGTGAGGGAGACTAGGACAGCTGCCTGGGGCTTTCTCATATCCAGGAGTTTTGGCTCACTCAATCTTGGAATTTCTCCATCACTTTCTTCCTTTCCCTCCTTCCTTCCTCACGAGGGGCTCTTTCTCAGCTTGTCCTGCTTGGCAGTCTTCATCTCTCTGACCTCTAATCTAGGAGGGCCCCCCGACTTAGACCTCTTCTCTATACTCTACCTGGGTGATCTCACTCAGCACATCGTTTTCAAGATCGTTCACATTTCTCTCTCTAGCCCAGACCTCTCCCCTGAACTTCTGAGTTGATAGCCAATTAATAATTTCCTCTTGAAAGTCTAACAGGCATCTCAAACTTGAGTTGTTCAAAACCGAGTATCTTCCCCCAAACCCGCTGTGGTCCTACCCACCTGCCCAGTTTCTTGCAATAGCTTCATAAGTGGCATCTTTTTGCCACCTGTCTTCCTGCAGTCTGTTCTCAACATAAAAGCTGATATTTTTATTTTTTTAAATATGTCTTTATTGACTTCAGAGAGGGGAAGGGAGAAGGAAGAGAGGGATAGAAACTTCAATAATGAGAGAGAATAATTTATTGGCTGCCTTCTGCTCACTGGGGATCAAGCCACAACCTGGGCTTGTGCCCTGACCGGGAAACAAACCATGATCTCCTGGTTCACAGGTCAACAATGCTCAACCACTGAACCACACCATCTTGACTAAGCTGACCTTTTTAAAGGTAAATATATGCTACTTCTCTGTACCAACCCCTCCAGTGGCTTCCAGTATTAAACAAAGTAAAACCCTAAGTCTTCATAAAGTCTTACAATGTTCTCCCGTGGAAATCTAGCTTTCTGACCCTATGTTCTGCCACTCTTCTCCTCACTCATCCTAGTCTTGTCTCAATGTCTTTGCATTTGCTGCTCTCAGTGCCTGCTTAGCTTATTCTCATTCTGTCTTCAGTCTTTACCAAATTGTTGCTTTACTAGTAAGGCCTTCCCTGACCCTAACCTCATCCCCACCCCTGCAATTGGAAATATCATCACCCCACCCCAGTTTATCGTATCCCCCTTCTTGCTTTGTATTTCTCATGTTATGTATTTACAGACTAATATATATTTTTAATATATTTTTATTAATTCTATAGATGAAGGGAGAGGGGGAGATAGAAACATCAATAATAAGAGAGAATCATTGATTGGCTGCCTCCTGCACACCTCTCCTGGGGAATCAAGCCCACAACCCGGGCATGTGCCCTTGACCGGAATTGAACCTGGGACCTTTCAGTCCATAGGCTGACACTCTACCCATTGAACCAAATCGGCTAGGGCTTAAATATATTTTTTACTAATTTATTTGACTATATCATAGAACAGGATTTTTTTTTTTTTACATTTTCTATTTATTGCTATTTTCCCAACAATAAAGTCTGACTCACAAAAAGGCACTCAATAAACCTGTTGAATGAGTAAGTGGATTCTTATCTCCAATCACTAAAGGAGGGCTCTGGGGGAAAGAGTGAAGAGAAAAGAAGTCAACTCCCAGTGTGTTAGGAAAAAGAGACGTGTCTGCAGGCACTTACCGGCTCCCCGACTGGGGGGCTCGCGGGCTGGGGGGGGCGGCCTGGTACTCTGTAAAGAAGGGGAGACTGAAGTAGGCGGCGGAGGTGCTAGGCCTCTGACGGGCCCTGGTGTCTTCCTATGCAAAGAATTGTGTCTCTGTGGCAGCTCAGGGGCCGACTCATTAGTGGGACTAGAGGGCCCATTGGGGACCCCTGGAGGCTGCCGGTAAGGCGGCGGCGGAGGGGCCAGAGACTGGCCACTTGGTCCCGTTCTCATATTCACAGGGGAAGGAGGTGGTTTGACTGGGGGTGGGGCAGGAGGTCCGTCTCGAGTAGGGTGAAGCCTCTGTCCGGGGGTGGGCGGCAGGGGTTTCTCTCTGTTGTAGGCGGGGGCTTTGTTGCTGTGCATAGGCAGAGGTGCAGGGGGTGCGTTGGCACGCCGCCCTGGTGGTGGCGGAGGAGGGGCAGAGGAGCTGTGCTTCATGCCCGGACTGCTGGTGGTGATAGGCCGAGAGAGGTCCGGTAATGAAGGTCTCTGCATCCGGGGCAGTTCCGGGAGGGAGGCTCGGCCGCTGTCTGCGTCATCTTGAGGGCGCCCACTGGCTGCAGACACGGGAGGCCTTGGGGCAGCAGCTCGAGAACTGGGAACGTGCAGGGCTGGCTTACCAGCGAGGTTCTCTGCAGACAGACCAGACAGCACACTGGGTCAGCAGGGCTGGAGGGCTGCTGGCTAGCATCTCTAAGTCACCCAGCCTCATTACCTGCACAGCGGAGGGAAGTATTTGTATAGGACCAGGTTTTATCTGGCCCGTTAACAAATATTGCTGATATAAATGAATACGTTTTTATGTAATGCCTTTGCTTTAATATACTCTGTAACTCCACTTCTGCTCCCTTTCCTTCCTCCCCCTTCTACCACATTCCTCAACCCCAGATGAACACCTGGGACCGGAAGGAAATGCACGCACTTGGGAAATGTAAGAAAGTACTTCTCAGATACCTGAACCGTCCTTGGCTCCCACAGGGCGGAGCTTCGGCACTCCTCCTTGGAAGAGACCTCCCTTGGGCTGCAGGGCACCTGCTCCAGAGCCATAACCACCACCACTTCCTTTGGGTTCTGGAAAGCATACATTAGAGCTGTCATTTCAAATGGTGATCAAGTTAATCCTGAGGAGAAACTCCTCCTCTATTTGGGTTCTAACTTGTAAACAAATCAATCTTGCTTTTGCCTTTCCATTCAAGAAATAAAAGTGAAGCCTCTCTGTGCCACAGCTTCATGAAGGGACGAAAATCCTGGCTGTGATGAGAGAAAAACTACGAAAGAAACAAGGAGCCAGTCTTCCCTTATTTGGATGGGCCAGAAGGATAACCTGGATAAAGACATATTCAACAGAGTTCTTTGGGCTCTGCTCTCAGTCTGGGATTATAAGGGGGCTAGTGGCCAGGGACACAGGTGTGAGCAAACCCTCCAGTGGCCTTTCAGAATGGACACTTGCAGCAATTATGAAATCACCATTGGCTTCAGCTGAGCAGTTTTTAGGCCTGTAGTGGTCTCCTCAGAGAACAGCCAGGGATGTGCCCTGACAAGCATAAGTAACACTAGTGAGAGTAGGAGCTGGCAGTCTTACTGAGAATGCTTCCCAAAGGTCAAAAAGATGTTCCTTAGGGACGGGAAAAAACTCGCCCACTCAAGACCCAGCAATAAAAATGACAGCCCAGCCAAGTTTCCAAATCAGTCCTAGGCTAGACTCACTCTCAATGACGGGAGCGCTCCGGTCATTGATGTTGGTCACCTTCTTCAGCTTGGTCCCTTTGCAGATGTCCTGTAAGAGGGCGCCTCGACCCCGCTGCTCATCTCGGCTCAGCTTGATCTGCTCTGTGTTTCCCTGGGGGAAGAGCAATGTAGAGAAGTTCACCATAAACAGTCCCCTTCATCACAAGCTTGGGATAACGCCTTAAGCCGAACTGAGGGTTCCAGGAGACGCCTGTCTAACTGAATCAAATATATATGCCACACATCCGCAATGGTAATGTACATCACCATCTTGTTAGTCCTTCTGCTCCTACTGTACCTCCCATTCAGATGTCTCTAACTGGAGGCCTGCAACTCATACTTAATACCTAATGCACAAGGCTTGTGTGTTAGATGCTTTAGATGTATCAGCATCATCAAGGCAAACATCTACTGAACCCCTGCTAGGTGTTAGGTATTGTGCTAAGCACATTACTTTCATTATCTCATTTAAATGTTGAAACAGGCTATGATGAACTACAACAGGCGCACAGGGACAGACAGCAAGATAATGGCCCAGATCTATATAAGAAATAAAAAAAGAATAGATTATTAAATACAAGATGTTAATAACAACTGGGAATTTTTTTGGGGAAAAATAAAGTTAAATACAGTCCTTCCTCACAGCTTATTCTCAAACAATTCTAGCTGAATTACAATATTTCAGTGTAAAAACTACAAAAGTACTATATTTAAAAATTTGCTAAGGGAAGAACATTCTAAACATGACAACTAAAATACAGGGAAAGAAAAGAAGTAAAAGATCAACATATTTGTTTACTACAAATTATTTATTAGGAATATAAGCAAATAAACAGGAAGCAAATAAACAGGAAGCAAATAAACAGGAAGCAAATAAACAGGAAGCAAATAAACTGGAAGGAAAGATCATCTGTGACAAATGTAAGTGTTCTAAATCTATAGAGCGTTAACATACAAAGATGACTTAGGAATCAACAGGATAATAAGCAAAGAATATGAACAACACTATGTAAAAGAAATTAAAGAACCCAGCTGGTATGCTCCATGGTTGAGTGTCAACCTATGAACCAGAAGATCACAGCTCGATTCCCAGTCAGGGCACAGGCCTGGGCTGCTGGCTCAATCCCCAGTGAGGGGCTTGCAAAAAGCTGCCGGTCAATGATTCTTTCTCATCACTGATGTTTCTATCTCTCTTTCCCTCTCCTTTCCTCTCTGAGAAAGAACTTATCTCACAAGGTAGTTTTTAGAAATGACAATACTTTTCAAGAGCCTAGCAGTACTGGTGCATAATAACAGCTCAATGGCCTTATCTGGTTTTGCTCAGTGGATAGAGCATAGGCCCTTGGACTAAAGGGTTGAGGGCATGTACCTAGGTTGTAGACTTGTTCTCAGGTTCCCAGCCCTGGTCAGGGAGCATATGGGAGGCAACCAATGAAGTGTCTGTCTCACATTAAAGTTTCTCTCTCTCTGTCTCTCCCGTCCCTACCACTCTAAAAGTCAATGGAAAAATATCCTCAGGTGAGGATTAACAAGACAAAACATAAAAGTTCAATGCATAGTAGCTAGATTTCATTTGGAAGAGAAACCCACACACAGCAAATTTCTGGAAAGATACACACTGATACTAGCAACAGTTAACTTCTGGTAAGCATTATTTATGTTAATCTGTATTTTCTAGTTTTCCCATAATCTCCTATATAATAAAAAGCTAATATGCAAATAAACTGAATGGCAGAACAATTGAACAACCGGACACTATGATGTGCAGTGACCACCAGGGGGCATGCGTGAAACATGGCGGGCATCAACAGTGGTGGATGGTGGAGCAGATGGCGGGAAAGGAGGGGGGAGGGGGCCAGACCAGGGGTGAGCCTCTGTTGGTTATGTGCATGCACTGCAGTCCTACCCGGCGTTCACACCTGCTGCCTGCGCTGGCCCTGATCACCCCTCAAGGATTCTCCACCTCCCCCAGCTCCTGAAGGGCGATTGGGGCTGACAGCCACTTCTCACATCTGCTGCCAGCAACAGCCCCACTCGCACCCGCAGCCGGCACTGGCACCGGAGCCACCACTCACACCCACTGCTGGTATCGGGCTGCCAATCGGCCCTGAGGGATTCTCTCCCTGTTCCACTGGTTTTAAACATCCCATTACTGACACTTTAAGTCTTTTTACTAATACATTCCATAAACTCCTTTTTTTCTTGATGAAGTGTTAGACTTGATGGATTTGGTTTTAAAAGAACTGATTTGGAGAGGATGAAATGGTAGCAAAGAATCATCCACCAGAAATTGCTACTCCTTTTCTCAGAGATGCCAAAGAAATGATGTACTGACCTTTAAGAACAAAGTTTTAGGAGGAAAACATCAGTTCCTACTCTGATGCCACCTGTCCAAATATCCACTTAGACTGAACCAAGTTAAGAAAACAAGAAGCTATTATGATCCTCAGAAGACCTCTCAAAAACCAGAACTAATTGATAAGACTTGACTTGTTTATTCTCCATCTTCCTGCACCGCAAGTCTTTGAGAGTACCTTTGAGAGTACGGTATGGCTTATACCAGGAAGCATTAAATTCCCATTAAGGTTTTGAGATAGCTGGGTGGAAGGGTTACCCACCTGATTAAAAGTGGAAGGTGGAGGAGGACCAGGAGGGGGTGGAGGGGGAGGAGGAATTGGCATCCTTGCCCAGCTCGCAGTTGGCACTGCTCTCTCTCCGTTTTAATTTGCAGCTTTAGGTCACTCATATACCTGCAAATGAAATAAAAGTTCATGAGAACTTTGCCATTACGGACAGAGTATCAGAAGAACAAGGGGACTGGGCCTGACACCAGGGAAATTAAGCATCTCATTTACTAGTTCCACTGTGATATAGTCCAGGGCTTGGTCAACTTTTTCTATAAAAGGCCAGATAATAAATATTTTAGGTTTTGTAAGGCACATATAGTCTCTGGTGCCTATTATTCTTTTTAATATTTTTAATTAATAAATTTTATTTTTTTAGGTTCAAAGCAAAACTGAACGGAAAGTACAAACAGCACCCATATACCTTGCACCCTCCCCCCCTCAACACACACACACAAGCATCCCCAACTACCTACCCCTTGCAGGGGTCCCTTTGTTACAACGGAATCCATACTGACACCTCATTATCACCCAACGTCCACAGTTCACATTGGAGTCCACTCCTGGTGTACATTCTATGGGTTGTGACAAATGGACAATGCCAACTACCCACTACTGTAGTATCACGGAAGAGTTTCACTGCCCTAAAATAATTTGTGATCCATCTATTCAACTATCCTTCCCCCCAACCTCTGGTGACCACTTATCTATTGTCTCTAGAGAATTGCCTTTTCCAAAATGTCATATAGTTGGAATCGTAACAGGTAGCCTTTACAGACTGGCTTCCTTTACTTAGACATTTAAGTTTCTTCCACGTATTTTCAGGACTGGATAGCTGATTTGTTTTTAGCGCTGAATAATATTCCACTGGGTGTACCTCAATTTATTTATCCATTCACCTACTGAAGGATGTTTTGGTTGCTTCCAATGTTAGCAATTATAAATAAAGCAGCTATAAATGTACTTGTGTGGGCATAAGTTTTCAGCTCATTTGAGAAAATACCTAGGAGCATGATTGCTGGACCACAGGGTAATAAACTGTCAAACTGCCTTCCAAAGTGTCTGTACCATTCTGCATTCCCAAGGGCAATCCTTGTCAGTATGTGGTGTTGTCAGTGCTTTAGATTTTGGGCATTCTAATAGGTGTGTAGTGGATCAATGTGTCAGAAACAGAAGAATCGGTATCTACAGAAACATGAGGCTATGCATATAGTTCAGTGTTCTAAAATTTGTTAACTTGCTGAATTCATTCATGAATTCACCTACCATCCAGTAAATATTTATTGAGCACCCGCCAGATGCCAAAGCATCTAACTAGATAATAAAAGCCTGAGCAACCTTTATAGCTTAACAACCAGAATGACCGGTCGCTATGATGCGCACAGACCACCAGGGGGCAGATGCTCAATGCAGAAGCTGCCCCCTGGTGATTAGTGTGCTCCCACGAGGGAGTGCCGCTCAGCCAAAAGCCAAATTCACGACTGGCGACTGGTGAGTGTAGCAGAGGCGTGGTGGAGCCTCTCTGCCTCCGTGGCAGCGCTAAGGAGGAGCAAGCCAAGCAGTAAAGAGCAGTGAGGTGGGCAGTAAGGAACAAGGGGCCCAGACTGCGAGAGGGTGCAGGTTGTGCTGAGGGAAGACACTCCCCCACACACACAAATTTCGTGCACCAGGCCTCTAGTTGTTCTGTAACAGTGGTTCTCAGCTGGGTGACTTTGTCCCCCAGGAGACATTTAGCAATGACAACAATGAGGGATGCTACTGGCATCTAGTGGACAGGAAACAGGATGCTGCTAAACCTTCTATAATACACAGGACAGCTCTCTCCTCCCAACAAAGAATTATCCAGGCTAAAATGTCAATAATGTTGAGGTTGCCCAGCTGGTGAGGCTCAGTGGATGAGTGTCAATCTATAAACCATCAGGTCATGGTTCAATTCCCAGTCAGGGCACATGCCTGGGTTGTGAGCTCGACCCCCCAGTGTGGGGGTGTACAGGAGGCAGCCAATCAATGTTAACAAAAGTTATACTTGTAACATTTTCTATGTTTATTGATATTCTCTAATTTTTCCCATAGTTTTAGTACAGTAAAAATATTTTAATGATATCATTAACCATTTAATGAAATGACAAGCCATTCACAATGTATTAGTAATATCAGATTAGAAATCAGTAGATATATATAAAAAAAGAGGTTGTGCTCTCATCATCGATGTTTCTATCTCTCCCTCTCCCTCTCCCTTCCTCTCTGAAATCAATGAAAATATTTAATACTACTAATAATGCTGAGATGAATAAATCCTGTTCTAGAAGCTGAACAAGTTTCTACAATCTTGGGCTTACATTCTAGTGGAAGAGAGAAATAAGAAACAAATATAATCTCATTATCTCAGTTGCTGATAAGTAAAACACACACATCAGAAAACCACCACGGGGGAATGTAGGGACAGGGTGAAATATAGTGTTCTTTAGATAGAAGTGCTGGGAGAGGAGGCCAGAGATGAGTGGATGGCTCATCAAAGAAGTGTCTCCATGAGCAGAGCAAGTTCTATGACCATTTAAGAGAAGAGCATTCCAAAAAGAATTAACAGCAAGTGAAAAGCCACTGAGATGGGGATGAGCTTGGTGAGTTGGAGAACTAGTGAGGAGGCCAGGGTAGTTAGAATACAGTGAAAAGAGTGGCAGAAAATGAAATTGGAGGCCTCCAAATCCAAAAGTACAATAGTATCCTTCTCCATTTTACATGCCTATAATACTCAGAAGTCTAAAGGAACCAACAGCTTCACACCTACAGGAAACCATAAGTTCAATCAGTGATTTCATTAATCCCAGACTGCTCTTGATCTTCTGGTTTAAGCACAACTAGGGACCTATGTACCAACTGGAAGCTTTCCAGAGTTAAAAGTTACCTGATGATAATCTGCCTTCCTGTTGACCTGCCCTTCAACTTTGCTCTGAGCAGCAGTACAGCATGAGAGGCAGGAGCCCATTACCACAGTGGTAATGGCACCCAGCTCCTAAGCTAAAGAACCGGGACCTGGGAGAAGAGCCAGAAGGTACCTAAGAGTATTCACATGCCACTCTAGGAGACTAACCAACAGCAGGAGCCAAACAGATCCCTATAATTACATGGGAACTGATGTCAACACAGAATTATGAACACCCTCCATGTGTTCTATGGCAGATTGCAGTAGAGGGTCTCCACTTGTATTTTTGGTTTAAAATACAAGGAAACAGACGAATAACTTCCATGTTATACAAAGTCTACTACCCTCCGCACCCCCGAAGGCTTTGTATAATGTGAAAATAGTCCTCAGCACTCTCCTCTCAATGGAGAAGGCGCTACCTCCCCCTTGAAATTCAATTCAGTCAAACCTCTGGTGAAACAGATTTCTATCACGATGGAATTAATTAAAATTTCAAGGTTACTCCATGAAGAGGGGTTGGGGGAATTGTATTTCCAACTGCAGGCATTTTTCAATCATGGACAATTCAACTATGCAGCAAATCTGATTGTCCAACAAGTATAAAAAAATCACATACCCACTGTGAATATTTAAACTGAAAATCTACAACTAAATCTGGATGTTTTATTCTTTAGATCAATGATTTTTCAGTTACAAGCAGCACATAACCCTGGAAGACAAAAGGAAGGAAGCAGAACAATGATATATTACTACATGATGAAATCCTTTCACATATAATTTCTCTAATAAAAACATAAGTATATATCCCAATAATTCAGCTTTTCTCCATGACTCTTTCCTCTTGTCCCAAGATACTTTTTAAAAGCCCTAAAAATGTAAAGTCAGGAATCTACTTATTCACATACTACTCGATGTGGTAAATATTAGGTACCACAGGTTATCCCCAAATACAGGGTAACCCAGGAGCCAAGTCCTCTTATCTAAAGTGATGGCAGCCCTAGCCAGTTTGGCTCAATGGATAGAGCATCAGCCTGCAGACTGAAGGGTGGAGTCTGGTCAAAGGCACATATCTTAGTTGCAGGCTTAAACCCCAGCCTCAGTTGGCCTGTGTGGGAGGCAATCAATCAATGTTTCTCTCTCACCAATATTTCTCTGTGTGTCTCCCCTTCCCTTCCACTCTCTCTAAAAATAAATGAAAAAATATTCTTAGGTGAAGATTAACAACTACCACAAAATCTTTAAGTGTTTAAAAAAAAAAAAAAAGATTCCTGGATTTGGACAGTGAAATAATGCAGAAAGTAGCTCAATGTTCATAACTAATATTTCCTCCCCACCCACACATCTCAGGAACCAGTGGACTTAGAAATGTTGGCTAAAAAATGGAGTCACACAAGGTCAAAGTTACTACCATCAGCCAGCATTTAACTAGAGAGGAGAGGAATTAATCAGATGAAGAACACACATTCTAATTTAGAAATCCAGACCAAAGCAATACAGACTAAAACATAGTCTGAATACAAAAGCAAAATTAGAGGAAGCCCAAGGCGTTTGCCTTGGAGATTTAAGATAGCAATGAATCTTTGGAAGTACCTTATAAAACAATTTCCAAACTTGTCTGAAGTCAACACACAACCTCAGGCATTTGTTAAAAAACAAACAAACCAAAGAGATCCCTGGGCCCTAATCTTTTACCTTCTAAAGTCCTAAGTTTCCAAGGAGAGAGAATTTATATTCAACAATTCTTGATGGTAGGAAGTCTGGAAATACTAAAGGAGTATTAGTAATCAACTGCACAGACACTATCTGAATAGCTAGCCACAAGAATAAGCTAATAAGCCGAAACCAGTTTGGCTCAGTGGATAGAGCGTCGGCCTGTGGACTGAAAGGCCCGGGTTCGATTCTGGTCAAGGGCACGTACACCTTGGTTGCGGGCACATCCCCAGGGTGTGCAGGAGGCAGCTGGTCGATAAATCTCTCTTATCGACGTTTCTAACTCTCTATCCCTCTCAATTCCTCTCTGTGTAAAAATCAATAAAATATATTTTCAAAAAATAAAATTAACAAGGACAGCAATCTACTAAAAAAAATCACTCAAATGAGAAATATGCCAAAGAATAAAATAATACTAAAAAAAGGAAAAAAAGGAAAAAAAGAATAAGCTAATGAGTATATTGGCTAAACAAGAATATGCTGCATGCATTTT